AGTAAGTAAGTAAGTAAGTACTGTAAGTAAGTAAGTAAGTAAGTAAGTACTATTAGTCAGTAAGTAAGTAAGTAAGTAAGTACTGTAAGTAAGTAAGTAAGTAAGTAAGTACTGTAAGTAAGTAAGTAAGTAAGTAAGTAAGTACTGTAAGTAAGTAAGTAAGTAAGTAAGTACTGTAAGTAAGTAAGTAAGTAAGTAAGTAAGTACTGTAAGTAAGTAAGTAAGTAAGTAAGTACTGTAAGTAAGTAAGTAAGTCAGTAAGTCATTAAGTAAGTAAGTAAGTAAAGTTTTATTTATATAACACTTTTCACAGAAATAATTTCACAAGGTGCTGTACATTCAGGGAAGGGTGGAGGGGGAGTTAAGACCGGTCATGCAGCAAACACAGTTGCGCTACCTTAAAAACAGAAAAACAGAAAAACTAAAAACCACACAAGGGAAAAAGAGGAAAAAAGCAAAAACATCATATTATATCAACACTGTGACACACTATGGTGTTTATGAAAAAACCTCTGCATAGAGCAAGTTTATTAGCCAGAGGAGTAATTGAGTTTTAAGGGAGCCCGAAGAATCCAGTCCCCAGACCAGCGTAGCCGTAGTTCAGAATATTGATGGAAAATGTTCATGTATGTGCAGCTTACAGCTTCTCTGGAAAAACAGATTAGACAGGTGAGAGGAGGGGGGAGGGAGGGGGACAGAGCCTTTTGTCGACACATTTGGACCAGGAAGAATTTAGCCAAACAGATCCAAGGTCATTGTCGGGGAGATCCAGATTGTGTAATCAGTTGTTTAGGAACAGAAGACAAGCAGACGATAACAATTTTCCATCTGCTTTAGAGTTTCTGCTGGTACTTCTCAAGGTGGCGATCCCATGCAGACAAAATGGTGTGGACAAAATTCCACTGAGCCGAATCTATCAGCTTTAGCCAAGATCAATTCCATCTGGCCAGCAAAGACCAGGGACCACAGCCGGCCCGCGATCCTCAGCAGAACCGCTTGCAGACCCAGTCCAGCTCACTCAAGGCAAAATGTCCGAGTTCTGATAGAATACGGCCATCCATCCAGTTGGTCAGTCAGCCAAGAGCCACCGATGCTGTTTTGCAGAACACCAAGAGACCACCAGGCCAAACTGTAGAATCCAGTGATCGAAGTCCAGACATAAATCCTGAGCAGAGGTCCCATCTTTGACATATCCTCCCATGGAAGAAGAAAAAACTTTGTTCCAAAAAATTTATTGCGAGACCAGCTAACCAAATCCATAAAAATAAAAATATCCATGATTTCTTGTTTCGGATGAAAATGTAGAGAAGGCGCCAGCAGCAAAGCAGGGAAGATAAGGAAGGGCAGGAGAGAAGGGAAAAGTGTCTGTCAAGAGTGGAAACAAATAAAAGGGGAAAAGGAAAGGGGTTGACATCCCATAGGAAAGGGATGTCACTTAATCTCATATGTGAGTCAAGCCAGGTGAGTCAATACATTTGGCAATATAGTGTCCATTTTATTGTGGATGAAATGCGGCTTTATGAGATTTGTAAGAAGGTGTATTGTTTTGCTTTGCATTTTGCACGTCTACTTTTTCAGAACTGAGGTTGTGGAAAATCCTTCACATTATCAATAACTAATATTTATTTTACTCTGTTACTTTCAGATAATACTCGATACTTGGAGTTTGACTGTAAGAGACCATATTTGGAGTCATCTTCAAAGGAGCATTATTTCCGTTCACCTTATGAGTCACCTTTACTGTCTCATGCCTACTGCACTGATGCAATCACGTCCAGGGAAGCTTGCATGTACAATGGTATGGAGACAGAGTCTGGGGCAGTGGACAAAGATGACCTAACCCACTCTCCTTCACTGAACTGCAACATGTGGGCCACAGTGCAGTCGTACCCTTGTTACAGCGTTGATGGAGTCCCACACCAGCCCTTCCCCAACCCTGCCATACCACAACCTGCATCATCAATGGTGTCACGACCACCGCAGGCTGACCCGTGGGTTTATAACTCAGCTCCAATACAGAGAGGAGTTCCCCTACTGTCGCCATCATCTTCATCTTCATCATGCTCTCCAGCTGTTCCTGTTTCTAATGATACATCAAGTAATCCACCTCTGTATCACAAGAAGCCAGGCTCATCTGTCTGGCCTCACAGAGATTTCTCAGCCTGCTCCAGCCAAGGAGCTTTATCCATCCCTGATTCACCTTACCAGTACACAGCAGGGCTAAGTAGTACCGGCAGTCCCTGGCCTGACAGCTAAGATTGACTCAACAGCTAATGTGGCCCACCAGTTTGACTCAACAGCTAATGTGGCCCACCAGTTTGACTCAACAGCTAATGTGGCCCACCAGTTTGACTCAACAGCTAATGTGGCCCACCAGTTTGACTCAACAGCTAATGTGGCCCACCAGTTTGACTCGATGTACAGCCCTGAAGATTTCCAAAGTCTCAGTGAGGACTCTGGATATTAGTCAGTGTTAAGAAACAACACTTCATGTGTTTGACAGTCGCTATATTGGTACAGTACATGTTCCGATACAGTACTACCAGACCATCAAATCAAAGTGACTTATGGGTTTGAGGAGTATTTGGAGTGTCAGTCAGCTTACAGGTACAAAAAACAGTCCTGTAAGACATACACATGTACTGTCAACAAAATGAACTAAACATAAATAAATGAATAAATAAATAAATGAATAAATAAATAAACAGAAGAAATATATTAATTTATAGGAAGAAAATGATCAAATACAGCACTTGTTTTTGGAAAGCAATTTAAAATGGTATATACACTGCAAAAACTGTCCACCTAACCAAGTTTAAAACCTTATATCAGCCAAAAAGTCTTTTTGATCTTGTTTTGAGACTGATTTACTGAACAAGAACTGATTGTGTAAGAATAATCATCTTGTTTTCAGAATGTGTAAGATTATTTGTCTTGTTAGTCTGAAAATTTGACTCAAATTAAGTCAAAAGTTTCTGGCAGTGGAGTAAGAAAATTTTACATGGTAAGATTCTTGACATAAGAAAACATTGAGACAAATAAAGTATTTCAAGAATCTTACCAAGCAAAATTTGTACTGCATTGGCAGAAAATTTTGACTTAATTTAAATCAAATTTTCAGACTAACAAGACAAATAATCTTACACATTCTGAAAACAAGATGATTATTCTTACACAATCAGTTCTTGTTCAGTGTCCTGATGCATCTCAGT